ACTCTATCGTTCACGTCTGATTAAAAATCAAAATCTATTGTAATATATATGTTGCATATGGTTCCTTTGGTAACTCTACATATTATCCTTAGCCCAGTTACGTTCGTTTGATCATATGTTCTACCATGAACCAATTGCATCTATCTAGGATTACTTCGATATCTACCAACTATGCCCTTGGCAATAATAGATATCAGGTCTCATTTACTGCATTGTACATATTAGGCTTCCTATTGAAGCATAAGGAACTGCCTTTATGTCACATATGCTACAATGAGCCTTATGATAGACCATAGATAGAAGCTTAGGAAAATCGCAACAATGCTTTCTTGTGATCATTGATCTCAAGAACATGTGTCGATTTCTCCAAATGTTTCATATCTAACTGCTTGGATAACCTTACATCTCCGTCTGACAACACCCTAATCCTTTTTCAAGTGATCGAAATGTCGTCTACGCATAGCATAAAAATAACACCATGCTTCTCGTAAACACACAATGTACCTTTGGTGACTAATCATATCCACAGACTTGATCAACTAAATGTACCGGAATCAACACTTACTCCAGTCCATAAATAGACTCTTTCGGTTTACTGACTAGATGCTCTTAGCAATCTACAATAAACCTTTCTGGGTGCTTCTTCATGGATCTTCCTTCAAGACCTTGTCTTAATATCTACGATCCCAAACTCATATTACATATGAGTGGCCTCAGTCTAAAATTTATATAGATTCAAGTACGGCTACTGGTGAAAAGGTTAACTCATAATAGATCCACTTATTTTTGAGTTCATTATTTCACAACAAGCCTACTTGTGGAAGTCTACACGAATTTACTCGTAGATCCATTAACCCCAATAGCGTTATGCCACTTAGTGGTTCTACAAGATCCTAGATCTGATTAAATTTTAAGACCCTATATCAGAAATCATTGTTGTTTTTTAAGTTTCTGTATCTAATGTCTCGGAGCTTCTCATTGTATAAATGTATGGCAGTTGCCTTGCAACGCTCCTACTACAATAAGCATCTTATCGTATAACTGGGGATTTATTTCACATTCACTAGAGACTAAGTCCAATGACTTTTCTCAAGAACATGAATTCAATCTAATCGCTTTGCAGCGCTCCCGCTATGACAAAGTACCTCCGGCAAAGGTGTATTACTAGAGACACGTGTTGTAGTCGTATTGGTATAACATTTTATACATGCGGTAACGAAGTTTGAACTTTCACCTTTATCTTTCCTTATGACAACTCTACAAATCGGCCTTTGGTTTATCACTCAATATTCCTCTAAAAATCAAGCATTCGTTTTAATGATTAACTTCTGATTACCAGTACTGTAAACCATATTTTTCGTTACTATGGAGTATCTCACAAACAACCAATTTTCTGAATGACTTTTCGATATTGTTATCAACTTTTCAGAAGATGCCGAAAATACTCCAAATTTGAATATATCCTGACAGGGTTTTAACCTTCTCCATAATCGTTTTGAAGTAGAAGCTACTGATCTTAGATCAAACTTTGCTCAAATCTTAAGCCATTATCTGCTCAATAATAAAAAGAAAAAACTTCCATTTATTGCAATGTGAGACCTTTTGGTTACTTGGTGACTTTCTTTCGTCCAAGCTTCGAGCTTTTTCATCCGATTTTCGCCTACTATGCAATAAAAGATTGGGTATTTTTCTTTAGATTTTATTACTTCGATTTTGCCTCGATTTTACTTATGATGCTTATTAAGGTGAGTTTGAGTATGGTTGGATGATGGTTGGAAAGTTTGGTCTTGATTATTTTTGTTGCTTTCTTGAGTGATTGTAAGGATTAATTGCTTGCCTATCTCGATTAAGGGTTAAGACTCCATTTGAGCTTAATGACTTAGGGTTAAGGTTAATTACCTAGTGCTCATAGCTTGCATATTTCTCTTTGTTATTTGTTTTTCCTTTTTATTGTGTCGATGGCGTTAGACGCTGATAATTCAATTCAATATTTGCTCGTTGATTTCAATTGCTAGTAATTAGTTGCTTGCTTAGTGTTAATCCATCTCCAAACCAATTGTTGTTACAATTTATTTGACCGCGCAGGGCCTAATTACAATAAATAATTGGATTGACTGGCACTTCGACTTGTATGTGTCTTGTGGACAATTTGACGCGTCTGTCAAAGTGACTTCTTTGAGATATCTGGGTCGAGCTGGCGTCATTGAATTCTGATTGGTTTTGGATGTGGACCGTCTTGACTTCTGGGAACTTAGTTAATATAGATAAAAGAACCTGCTATTTTATATTCATTTAACATATATTCACATGTAATATCTTAACAGACGAGGCCAAAATTGTATCAACACCAATGGATTAGAATGTTTAGTATTTATTTTCTCTTTTTGTGATATGGAAAATTAATTGGTAAACCAAGATCCGAATAGTCTTCCTTGAGAACGACCCGAGTCGGGTAGCTCGGTTACCACTTTCCCACGAATTTCTACAAAACACAGTTAGGACAATAGTTATTTGAGAATAGAGATTGAAAGAAGTATACTAGTAAAGCGGATGCTTTAAGTATAAGTGGGAGATTGTTGGTGTATATACCGAAAGCTTACTTTAGATGTATTTACATTGAACCTGTTTGAATGAGAATCATATTTAATTAAACAAGTCTATATTCTGTTGTTTTGCACTTAGATAGAATGGGTCGTTAGCATGAGAACAAAAGATCATTCTATCAGTTACTTGCGAAACAAGAATTGTGGTTCACAACCTAGATGGAAATGAACAACACATCGTGAACGGTTGTAGTGTTAATCTTACAGTTGATCTTGACTGATTAGTTACACTAGTAAACTTTGTGTATTGAACGAATCCTAGAGAGGAGAAGTTCGTTTTATACTGATCATCTTAAACGAACTAGGCCTCGGTTAATTACTGCGTACTCTTAACCCGCAAGATATAAACAGGCATGTGCATGCAATATTTATTACTTTGATTCACTTGGGTGAGATTCAGTTTATTGGATCAATATACTTACTATTTTAGGTAATATTATTGTATGTACAATGTGTTGTTAGAATGTTTACGACCACCATGTGCGATAGTTTGTTGATGTCCCCGAGATGAGCTCATGAAAGATTATTATGCTAAATCTGGCTAGTGGAATTTATTCTGACATAATAATAATGGTATGAGTAGCACTGGTCTCGTTTATAAATGTCGATTAATTTAATTTTCAGTAATTAAATTAATTGATGGACATTATATCTTAAACACGGGGAGATAAATCGAGTAATTATTATTGGAGACTCGAATATAATTTGAGAATTAAATTGAGAGTTTATTCAGTAATACTACTTTAGTATTTGGGTTTGGTAGACTTGGTCTATAGTTTAATCCAAATAGGAGAAGCCCAATCTAATACCTCTTTAGGATCCCTCTTGTAGCCTATAAATACATCACATCTCTTGGGATTAGGAAAATTATTAGAGTTGGACGTGTGAGACATATATATACGCCGCCCTTTTGTGTTTTCTCTCTCTTGTGTTCTCTTCTTCTTCTCCAAGTAATCCCTGTAGAGATAGATCCGATTTCATCGCTCACCAAAATGATCGGATTAGATGTCGGGTCATACAACAGAAGATCTAAGGTGATCGAGCGATTTATATATATTTATCCAACCCCGTAATATATATATATATATATATTCAACTCCGTAATTTATTT